TTCTTTGCGTTTCAAGATGTTTCTAGTTTCCCATCTGACCTGGTTATTTAATCTCCTGTATTCCTTTTCAGTTTCCAGATGCATCTCCCTTGTGCATGCTCTTTCATTGAACTTCGTTTTCATTATTTTCAGTCTCTCCCACAGTCTCTGTTCTTTCTTCACTTTAGCCCAGAGCTTCCTGTTCATAGGTAATTTTTCATTTGTTCTTTTTCTGCTAACCCTCAGTCCTCTGATTATCTTCTTAGGGACACACTCGTCAATGACTGCCTGGAATTTTCCTTTGAACTTATTCCACTTACTTTCAATATCTGGTTCCAATGATAAGTATTGGATCCAGTCCATCGTAAGCCATTGCTTCATCAGTAGGTAATCTGCTTTTTCATACATGTACACTTGTTTTTTACTTTTGTCTTCCATCTCCTGTATGTCACAATGGAAATAAATACAGGCATGGTCACTCTTTCCCAACGGACTCTCCAGCTTGATATCTTCTACTATAGATTCTTCGTTACTGAACAACAGGTCAAGGGTATTGCCTGTGCTGTCTCCTCTTATCCTGGTGATTTCCTCAATATGTTGAGTGAGAAAGTAGTCCCGTACTTTCTCGATGAACATGGTGCCAACATCATTCAGTCCCATTACAGAAGTATAATTACTCCAATTTATTTGTGGAAGATTAAAATCACCTACAATTATTTTATAAAGCACATTTTTATCAATGACTTCCTGCATAAGTTGAAGCAAATTAATATTATTGCTTCCATCACTATTAGGGGTTCTGTAAATGGAGGTAAATAATAAATTACCACTACTACATGGCACTTCTATACAGCAATATTCACAAAACTTAGTATCAAGTTCAACACTGTAAAATTTGGTTCCTTTCCTAATATACAGTATATTAACATACCTCTCCCTTCCTTATTAAGGAGATTTTGCTCTATAATGTCATAACCTTCTAGGTTATATTCAGTTGTAATCCGTTCATATCTATAGTGTTTTGGCTTTACCTCCTGTAGGGCTATTACTTGCGGAGTCTTTTCCATCTCCTTCAACTGTGCATTTAACTCTATCAACTTGTCTGGACTCAACACATCCACATTACTAAACATAATAAGAAATTTACCTTCATTAACGTTGTCTTCTTGTTTTTTCCTATTTTTAATCAGTTTCCTTGCACTATTTACACTACTGGTATGTACATGTTTCTCCTCTTTGAGCCTCACTACTTCTCTTGGACCCCTATTTTGACGACTCTTCGCCTCCACGGAGGACCCACCACTCTGTCTCCCCTTCCCGGAGTCCATTAAGTTTTTTGCCTCCTGCCATAAAACAGCTTTATTTTCTCTCTCCCTTTTAGTTAAGTCATTGGCTATTCTTATGTTTTGGAATTTCATATTACCTTGCAGGTGCCTGATGTTTCTAAATAGTTTGGCCTTTATATCTGCAGTAGATAACTTGACTAGCATAGGTCTAGCTTTTCCCTGGATAAATTTACCCAGCCTAATCACTTTAAAAGACGAGCCTCAAAAATGGTTAGACGTGCGAATAAACTTGACTCAGGAATCCCGTGTGACATAACTTACTTTATCTAACAATAAACTAACCTCCGGGGCGGATTAAGTGTACTTGGGGTCTGATGCTAATTCTATTTGGAGGCCCTTTTGAATAAATATCATTGCATTTTTGTGAACACTATCCACATGCATGAGTATCATAATAGTGATCAAAGAAATTGGGTATAAAATGAAAATAAAACATAAAATAACTTTACCATTGTATTTTCCATTTGTTAAACTGAATAAAACCAATTTGACTACAGAGTTAAAGGTAAACCATTCCATACCTTAAATTAATCCAACCTAGTCTACTAATAAACTAACCTATTTTAATCTTGAGATAACGTTAGACCTAACCTAACCTAACCTAACCTAAACTAAACTAACTCCATCTCAACTAATCTAATAAATGAATAAAACCAAACGACTGTATCAACAACGTCTCTCCATCATTATTTAAAACGTCGTGGACAAGGGCCGAAATCCTAAACCATTCTAGTGATTAGTTTCGGTTTCTATCGCTAATTTGTTTACAGTGCGGCTCTCAATGGTAAGAAATATGATCGTCGTCCATCCGGCAACCTGACCTGTCCAGACGGAATCAGTGTCGCCAACTTCGCGGTATAATCGTCAAATCTAGCATTTTTCAGGATCCCCTTCAGTATCTTTGTTTGGGATTCATATTAGTGATTATAGTCATTGTTTAAGATGCCTTTGCCTCAGCGCGTCCTACTTTTGTTTGGAATTGGTTGTAATGTGACGATGATGCATTTATTTAACCTAAAATACGTGTAAGTTTAACTAAAGCTCCGAAGAAGACGAAAAACTGGATTTGTACAGTTACTGCAGGTTAGGTCACATTAAAATTGGTTAGGTTATGTTATGTAATGATGGTGGGCAGTCTCTATAACTTACTTGCTGACACTAGTATATCGTGCCACACACACACACACACCACTGTCTCTCCTTCATCTCTTCCAGACGTCAGGATCCGCTTAACCTAACACACTTCCTACCAATACCTTCTAAGGCTTCCTGGCTCTTGAATCCTTTAACACATAAGTCCTTCCCGGGTAACTGATGACAAGAAGACCTGATTTACTTTCCCAATAATTGGTGATGCACAAACACGTCAAGATAGAACAGCTATTGAACTAATGGCATCGAAAGTACACACAGACAATAACCTTCTACAGATTACTTGAAGATTAAACCCCCAACATAGCGGGACCGTCTTTCACAGAAAACCTGAGATGCATCATTCTTTTTCATCTTGTAAAACAAGTATTTAATTATTAGCTTTCAATTAAGTTCCCTATAAACATCTTGTATCCGATAAGAGTTCAATATTAATATGTGAGTTAAACTTTGGGGTGTTTGTGGTCGTTTTCATTGTGTTTTCATTTTTAAATTGGTTAACAGAGAAATATAGGGCAGTAGAGGGAATGTGGACGACCCCCAATCCTCTTCTTTGTGCACCGTTTTCTCTGGACGCTGTGAGACAATGGTGTCAATTTTTACACTTGAACGAACTTGAGGAACGAACAGAAGTGACTCACCTTCACTGATCCACAAAACGAAGCCAAATAAAAAAGATCCAGTTTCTGTGGCTGATGCCTTAAAGCGAATCGCAGTGTTGTGACCAACAACGCTGGAGCAGATTCAGATACATTAAGGCTCGTGGCTAATTGTACTGCACACTGCTTCTCGTCCCACTCGTTTTATTCAGCAAGTAATTCAAGTTGTGCTTGGTATGCTTCCTGGGAGACCTTACCATCGAATTCCTGTGGTTTCTTCTTCACTGGTACTCTTGGAAAGTTCACCACTTCACTGTTTTGACGTAACATAAGGTCTGAACTCAGGTGCTCTGTAATTCAGCTCAGCACTTCCCTTTTCCACACGCTCATCGTATTTTCCAGAATTTTCAACACAATGCATTCCACTCGGAGCGTGCACAAACGATGTTTCACTCACACCATCACAATTATAGGGGTCACTAGATCTTGTCTCATACCTGCTGTTAGACTATTCTCCAGCACGGGCATCTCAAAAATTGTGACCCAGTCCCAGGTTGCTGATCTGACTTTCTGCCTCATTTACACACAATTGCAGGGTCTTAATTGTTTCTCTTACTTTGACAACACAACATACATATATTGTTTCTCACTTTTGATCTTTTTTTTTGTATGTCTTTATTATTATTATTATTTTATTATGATTATTATTATTATTATTATTATTATTATTATTATTATTATTATTATTATTATTATTATTGTTATCATTATTATTATTATTATTATTATTATTATTATTATTATTATTATTATTATTATTATTATTATTATTATTATTATTTTATTTTTTTTATTTTTTTTATTTTTTTTATTATTTTTTTTATTAATATGAATTATTATTATTATTATTATTATTATTATTATTATTATAATAATATTTTCGCCCCCCAGGCCCTGATGTGGGTCAGTGACCTGTGCCCTGGTGGGCTATCCCCAGTAAAAAAAAAAAACCTTTCCATCCTGCTACTGACTTTCTTTAGCTGTTGTTGTTGCTTCTGTTCTTCTCTCTGTTCCTGTTCTTCTCGTTGTTCTTGCCGTAGTTGTTTCTGTTCTTCTCGTACATGTAGATGTTCTCGCAACATTGTTTGTTGCTCCTTCTGTTCTTGTTGTTGTGAGTGTAGCTGTTCTTGCAACCTTGATTGTTGCAGTGTTATAATGTTATAATGTTTAACCTACCTACCGTTGTCTGACCGCCCGTACCTTACTTGTTCTCCTTAAAAAGGCGCACGCACACACACACACACACACACACACACACACACACACACACACACACACACACACACACACACACACACACACAAAATCTCATCCGTTTTGTGTCCTGTTAGGTGGATGAGACCTTTATCCTTCAGATGGCTGCGAGGAGACAGAAATAAAGGTCATTCTCTCTGGGACAAACTTTAATTAAGAATTTAAGGATGTCATCAGTGGTGGGCGAGTCCCCTGACACCCTGTTGGTGCTGGGTAACACTGGTGCCTTTAATACGTCTAATTCTCAAGCTCATAGTCTATGAGCTTGAGAATTAGACGTATTAAAGGCTGTGAATGTGTCTATGACATAGACACATTCACAGCAACATCCTACCCTGGCCGGCAAGGCTGTTTGTAACATGAAACTAATATTCACTTAAAGGGAAATGGAGACTGTTTCTAAGGCAGTTTTATTTAACTATATAGCACTGACGAACGCTGTGGAATACAGTTTTAATTAACTTGTATAAAGTAGTTTGCAATATTTATTCAAAATTCTATAAAGCCTAAAACAATATCATAAGTATTATACTGTATAGAGTTCATGCAATCATAATAATAAGAAAGTTCCTCTTAATATTAAACAAAATGATGTGTTTGTTTACTTTCAGAAGGTTTGAAACTTTTCCCATCAGAAATATTAGCCGATCCTGTTTTAGCGGGAAGCGACGTCAACAACAACAAGGTAAAACAGTTTATTTCAAGATGACACAATAATGGCTGGAAAAAGATTCTATCTAAAAAATAAATTAATATTCAAATGTTTCTTGCATATTTTAATTTATAATTCATATACGGTTAATAATAAACACTGCACTTAACTGGCATCTCATTACTGTAATATGAAAATGTGTTTTAGTAGAGGATGGGAATAAATTCACGTTGTTTTTACATGTTGTATTATGATGCTGCATTTTAATTGTTATTATTATTATTATTATTATTATTATTATTATTATTATTATTATTATTATTAGTTTCAAATTTATGAAAATTAACATGTCAATACAAAAATTCATGAACGCACTAATGAGTTTTCTTCAGTGATGTAGATACACAAACAGGTGTTTATTGTGGTGGGGGTGTAAGTGGGTTTGTGTTGGGGGTGTGGGTAGAGGGTGCGTGTCCCGGTGTGTAGTGGGGTGTGTAATAATTATTTAATTAATTTTGCGTCTTGCAGCGGCTAGTTTATTGTGCACCCCACACTCATCTTGTGAGCGGAAGCGCAAAAGTATTACAGTGTAGAGTTCACAAAGAGTCTGTATAACTAACCCCAGTGGTCAGGATATTATATCATTGCTACATAGTACGTATCTCAAATACATTGTTTGTTTAGTTCTGTACGTAGAGGGTGACTTTTTCTCAATTGCGTGAGTACAGCAGTGTGAAGCAATATGATAATGATGATGATGGAAAGAAGAGAGCCGTTTTCTCTGAAGATGGAAGAAGGTGTAGGAGGAAGGTAAAGTTAGGAAGTGGGAAATATAGTGGGAGATTTGATAGCAGGTGGACAATCCACCTTGCAATAAGTCTAGCCGCACACTTTGTTGTTCACATTTGCGTGAGAGGTATTCAAGCACATTGTGTGTTTGTTTCTATACATGGGAAATGGTATAGCTACTGGGCACAAAAAGTGGATACAATCTTAATACGTAAGTTATCTTGCCATTAGAGATAAGTTGTTGAATCAATTCACACACAGTGTGCTTGGACCTGTCCCTAAAAGGTTCTATTTTCACAGTCAAGGACGTAGTGTTGGAGTGTGTGGCCATATGTCTGGCCACACACTTTACATTTAGTTTTGTTTACATCTGCTTGGGGGATATACTGCCAGAGGTACTGTACTTATATCCTAACCTTAGTCTAGCGGTTACCGGTTACATCTTGTAATCTGGTGATCGTTTTGCTTGCTCCATATACATGTTTCACTTGATACATCTCATCATGGTAAACAAAGGATTGACTATTGCTGTTTGCTCTTGTCTGCTTGCTTTAACTTCATCAACAGGTTGTTTCCTAATTACAGTTTTAAGGGTTCTTTTTGACAGACCCAGATTGTATTTAACAGTGACTTTGTTAGACGCGATTTTGGCGAGGGCATCAACTGTCATGTTCTCTGAGGCCTATGTGAGAGGGGATCCACAGCAGTTTGTTATCTTGACACCCCGGTCAACAAGGTACGCATATTTGTGTCTGGCTTCAGATACAAGAGCGTGACAACCTAAGTTGAGGGTGTCAAGGAATAATAGTGTGGATAGAAAATCAGTGATGAGGAGACTGTCAGTGACAGTGTTTCAATAAATTTAATAGCTTTCAGTATGGCAATTAATTCAGTCTGTAGAGTGGATGCCCAGTTGTTAATTCTAACTCCTTACTCTTCTGTTTTACCGTCAGGTTGAGTCACAACAATAGCACTTCCAGCCCTCCCACAGGCGGTGTTAAGAAATCCATCAGTGTAGATGGTCTGTGTGATGTCATCAGTCTGTAAGGGTGTGTATGTGTTCAAGGGCTCTCAATTGGTGTGTGTGTGTGTGTGTGTGTGAGAGAGTGTGATCGCCTCGCCCTACAATTTTGACCGTAGCTACACACTGCTGATAACACCAATTTAATAAAAAAAATAAATACAAATGTTTGACTAAATTATATAGTATTAATTCACAAAATTTATGATAGTAATTATGTACCGTAAACCATACACACGTCACGCCGTAGTTGTCAGGAATACCACGTCCGACTTTTAGATATTGCATCGCTTGTGCACCTGTTGAATTAATGTATCTTTTATCAGTCATTTCCTCAATGTTAATGAATCAACCGAGTGCATATTAAACACTATATTCACTAACGTTCAAGGAGAAACAATCAACATCAATGCGGTAGTAAGTTAGCTGTTGGTAACTCCGTCAGGTAACGGCTCCAATTTACCGTCCTGAGTTACCACGACGTCAATGTTACCATAACAACGTCTCTCTGCTAAATGTAGCGAAGGGAAATTCGATTGCGCTTAAGTTATACTTTCGTTTTTGTGCTTAAAAGTTAGAATTCTCGAGTCGAGAGCATCAACTATATTACTCTATATCTCTAAATAATCTCCCTGTACAACACAAGTTCACACTGATTCAGCATGTACACTGACAATGCAGGTATACAATGTTACATGTACTGTACTGTATACATAGACTCGTACTGCCTACGTATACAATGTATACGTAGGCAGTAAGAGCATATAAAGTGTACATTGATTGTTGTCATACAAAGAGTGTATACAGATAGTGCAGATACACAAAAATAAACATTAAGACGATTCAACCAAATATAACCTAACCCATCTTTTTTTATACCTTGAATAAGTTAGAGTAAGTTCAGTTTTGTTAGTTTTTACTGGACTTAAATACAAAAATAACCCAAAATATATTTGCTGCTGTGTTTTATTTTTTTATAAAGTTATATAATTTCAATTACAGCAAACAAGTTTTGGTAAATTAGATTAAGATGGATCAGTTTTGCTGAGTTAACGTGATGTCCAATTGAAAAATATTCTGGTTAAAGAAGAACAAATACAGCGACTCAAATGTACAGAAATCACAGCAGAAAAATGCTTGCTGTAGCCAGAGCCTACCATCGCAGGCTGTGTAGAGAGGTGACAAACGTGATATTATGTATGGCTGTATTGATCTTTGAATCTATTATAAAAAACTCAGTAACTGTTTGTGTGGTCATTTTCAATACACAGCTGCAGTTTTGAAGATAGAGAGCTGAAATTTGCCAGTGAGTTGTATACTAGGAAACCATAATCTCTAGCCCACCTGGGTCGGTAATGGAGGTTAGAACAGTGTCCTTTCTGGACGGGGGCCCACTCTAACTATCACGAGGCAACACACGCACGAACACACACAGTCATAACTATATGAAAAATCGTGTTTAATTTAACTACATATTTCAAAAACCTTAAATTACATGTGGATCAGTCACACTCCTCATTTGACACACTTATAGTGTAATACTTTGACCATCCCACCTGGGCACATGGAGGCCCACGGTAACTCTCACGGGGCAACATACGCACGAACACACAAGTTATGATATGAACCCTTCCAGGCTTCACTATCATTATCATGTTATGTTCATCGTGCTCTGTATCTTGGTTACTAGTCATAGTATCAATACTTGACAGTGTTATTAGTATGATATTTTAACTTTTGCCCTACAGTTATTGTTGTAAATCATGGACAGGAAGGATACATAAATTGTAATATCAAGTGTATGGTTCGCTCAGAGCCACCCCAAGTCAGACAACGTGTCACATAAAGTTACAGTGTGTGTGTGTGTGTGTGTGTGTGTGTGTGTGTTCCGTAACATTAAGCTTCATCCTTAGTAGGTATGATGTTTCATAAAGAGGTTTCTCCCATTCGTCATTGTGAGCATCGTCCCAGAGCACATTGTTTCCATCAAAACCATGGTTCATCCTTATTTCCCTTCTTCCGTGTAACTATATCCATATGGCTAAGATGCTTGCTTTTCATTTCTTTATTTACCATACATGCACTTAGAGCATCAAGATTGTTTTGTAGGCATGACTATTGGTTAATTGAAACCCAAAAAATATTTTTCACATTTATTATGCATGAACATTGTAAATATATCTATGTGATTATTGTAGTATATAACATATATTTAATGTCTGGACAGATTCCCAAGAGTTATGCATATTAATGCATAGATTTTGTAAGCATATTTATGCGAAGTGACGTAAAACCGCATAGTAAAATACCTGGACAAATTCCCGAGAGTTAGGAAACGAAGTCTATGTGGCCCCAACGAGGTTACACCAGAGAGCTAACTCCCCCGCCACCCCTACAAGGCACCGTCGTGGGCGGAGATTTAATTCTTGACCACAGGTTAATACCGTGTCCAACCTCCATCTGCTGCTATAACTTCATGCAATCTGGTGGGCATGGAATCTACCAGATTGCTGCAGATGTTCGGCCTCCTCCTTATTCCCTCCCACACATTATGTGCGTGTCTCCTCACTGCCTCACTCGTTTTCTCCTCAACATCCCATTCAACAACCATATGCGCCCATAGATTTTCTATTGGATTACAATCGGCTCCTTTAGGGGGCCAGTCCAATAGAATAATCTGCGGGTGCGCCTCAAACCAACGCTTGACTGCCTGACTTGTATGTATTGGACTGCGGTCTTGCACCATACATATAGGCTGTGGGTCTGGGATGGCATATGAGTTGCTGGGAGGATGGTTAGCAGTCCTGTTGAACTGGCAGGTAGACAAAATAGAAAACTCACAGCCAAACTGTAAGAAAACCCATGGACAATGAGACATTAGTAAAATATACTAGGTCATTTTAGCGCGTGCACACACATTATATCCAGACCTATTGGTCCTTGCGAGGCTGTTTGGTTATGCTATGCTAACTAGTTTGCTAGGGTGAGGGAAAGTATATATATATATATATATATATATATATATATATATATATATATATATATATATATATATATATATATATATATATATAACTCTTCTCAACAAATGCAAGGATGTTGCCCCATGAGAGTTACTGTGGGCCTCCATGTGCCCAGGTGGGATGGTCAAAGTATTACACTATAAGTGTGTCAAATGAGGAGTGACTGATCCGCATGTAATTTAAGGTTTTTGAATTATGTA